ATATTTGAAATCTACACATCTTTTTAAGGGATTTCTATATATAACATGCTAGATTTGAAGTTAGGGTTTGAAAGTTATGAGTTTTTTTGACATTGAAAGTGATTAATATAATACCATATTTGAAACCTACACATCTTTTTAAGGGATTTCTATACATAACATGTTAGATTTGGAGTTAGGGTTTGAAAGTTATGATTTTTTTTTGAAATATATGAATATGTCCAAAAAATAGAGTAACTGGTACATTGTGCTGCCCATCTGCTAAGTGACGCTGGAGCGAGTAGTAATATCCTACGCCTACCAACATTAATAGGAGAGAAAAATAAAAGGAGGAAAAGGGAGCAAGGGGACTCGAACCTGAGTCTCCCAGGTAAACAGGCGAGCCTCACACCACTGCGCCACACACATGCAAGCTGTTGGTTACAGGGGCTTCACTTTAATAACTTGAGTAGGTCGCGGATTTTAGAAAAGGGTAAACCGAACCGTTTTTTCCACTTACCAATGGCATGGTGGGTAATTATTTACAACTTCAAGGGCACTTTTAATGACGGACGACCAGAAGCACTCCGTGCTTTATTAGTAGGGAAAGATTTTTATCTTCTTCTCTAATAATAATAAAGCACGGAGTGTTTCTGATGGTACGTCGTCGCATTTTTACAGAAAAGTCCCTCCCTTTGTAAGAATTCAACCCGCAGTCCTCATAATAAGTTATGAACACAAACTGGTACTCCGTACATGCGAGAGAAAAGAAAAAAAGAAACAGCCACGGCCCGTCCTCCTCAGCCATGTCTGCCTCCCGATCCCACTTCCAGCCCGCCGCCCGTCCCGCCCCACCGTGTGCCGCAGGCCGCCGTCGTGCGTCGCCACTGCCTACCCCGCTGGCGGGCCCACCCTTATCTATGGATCGAGGTGGGTCAACGAGCGTGTGAGACGACGGCAGGCGGCTCTCCCGCTTGATCCGATCGAGCGAGGTCTGCACAGGGCGGTGGCAGACGAGCTGGACGCGCGGAACGACGGCGGCGTCCGGATCCAGGCGAGCAGCAGATGGACCTTGCAAGGCGTTGGGGTTCTCCTGGGTGGTGCCATGGTTGTGCCGCCGTGCTCCTGAAAGAAAACGAGGAAGCATGAGGGGGAGAGAGAGGGGGGGAACCAAGAAAAAGGAGAGAAACGAGGGGTGGCACGGCATGGCGAGCATGGCGGCGAGAACCCAAGCGTCTCCCTCCAGCGCGCCCCTCCATGGCTCCCGCACTTCTCTGTGAGGATTAGAACTCAAAAATAGTCCCACCTCGCTCCTGTGCATCCAATTCAATCAATTTATATACGCAAGCGACTTTGCCGCATCAGAAATCAACCAGTGAAGGAGGAACAGAACGAAGTAACTTATAATCCTTTAAAGAGGGAAAAGAGGGGAGAATACACGCAATCCATAGGATCGAAGGAACTAGGACCCAAGCAAGGCGACTACAAGGCAGTGCCCGGCCCGGGGGAGGCACGGCCTGCATGACGGACCCGGCGCTTCGCTCGACGGTCCCGCCAGGTCTATCTGTTGAATCAACAACATCTGTAGAAAAGCAGATGGGGAGGATCAAAACAAGCCGCATCAAAATGGGAACGGAGCGCATCCGGGCATGGTCACCACCGCGAGCTAGGCCCAAGCAAGGCGACTACAAGGCAGTGCCCGGCCCGGGGGAGCACGGCCTGCACGACGGACCCGGCGCTTCGCTCGACAGTCCCGCCTAGCTCCGGCGTCCTCTCCTGGCACCGAGGATCATCACGGCGGGAGGGAGGAGGAGTGTTCGTTGGTTGGGAGGGCTATGGCTGGAGCGGAGCACCACAACGGTGTGTGTGGCTGCAGCACATCGCGCGTGGGAGAGAGGGTAAGGGCGGAGAAGACGAGCCAGCGGAGAGCGGATTATCTACCATGCACGGGATATCCCGTTCATGTTCTGGCGCCATGGTCAGGTTGTGTGTCAGTGTAAACAGGCAAACATATTCATCCCTATGTGCACACAGCCTAAACTACACAAAACAACACGGAGAAATTAGAGCCTTCCGATCAGATCACTTAATTAGATCTAACAGCCAAGATTACATCAACACACGTTCAAAGTGCGTTTAGCAGTTTTTCCGTGCGGACGAAAACTCTGCCATCCCGCAGGTACGTCCGCGTCCTTCGTCAAAGCCTGTCCCGCTCCCGCTTCGTGTTTTCCGTCCGTGCATCACGCTCGATCCACAATCCTCTCCGCATATAGCGCCGCCGCCGCGGCATCTCATATCTCACCCGTAGCCTCCTTGGCCGATTCCAATAGCACCTCCACGGCCCCCCAACTCCAATGCCCACGCTCGCTTTCCACGGGATGAACGCCGCCTGTCTCCAACGCTTGCCCCTCCATTGGATCGCCGCCACTGCCCCACGGACGCGGTCGTCGTCGCCGTCCGCCGCTCCTCCACTCGATTGCCGCTCAAGGATGCGGTCACTGCCGGCATCTCCTGGAGCGTGGGTCGTCGCCGCCCACCGCTCGGCTGCTGCCCCATGGACGTGCTCGCCCACACCCCTACATCCGCTGGCCTCTCCTGGAGCGCGGCTCGTCATTGCCGCCCGCCGTCGCCGTCGCCACACGCAGTGCATTGAGGCCCTAGCCATCAAGAGACATCTTTCCCCGTGAGGTACGCTTCTCTGAATTTCCAGTACACACTTCTCATATCTGTTCTCTGAATACATGCTTCTCATGTCTGTTCTCGGTATACAGGCTGGAGTAAGACAAGTTGCAGAGGGAGTTCATCATGTGCCGGGATTGCTTGAAGCACGATTCATTAATATGGATGAGGCCTGGGGCATCCTGCAAACTGGAAGCAAAGCCAAAGTTGTTGGTTCTACAAACGCTAACGAGCACAACAGCCGGTCACACTGGTTGTTCACCAGATTTTTATTCACTCGCACTAAGTTGCAGACCATAAAATCCCGTCCTCATTAATTTTCCATACATTATATTGTGTGAATGTGATAGTCAAAGGAGAAAACTTGATGAATGGAGAGCCATATCCGCTCTTGCAACTATGAGCCAGCACATACCCTTCAGGTTTGCAACTTTCAAACGTTGGTTGTAATTTGCACTGCTGATTATATATATGATCTCACTAACTTATTTATGTCTCAAACTGGCAGGAATTCAAAGTTAACACACTTGCTGCAAGACTCACTAAGTATGCAATTTTCTTCTCCTTGTGCCGGTATGGTTTGAAGCTATTCTTTAGTTTTGGTGATAATGTGTGTAAAGCACTGCAGGTGGAGACTCCTAAACTTTGATGTTTATTCAAGTTAGCCCAAACGAGAATGACCTAAGCGAAACTCTCTGCTCTCTGAACTTTGCGAGCAGGGCGAGCGGGATAGAGCTTGGACAGGCAAAGAAACAAGTTGATGTTGGAGAACTGTCAAGATATAAGTTGATGGTACTTGCTCTATTGCCCTCCCTGTTAGTTCATGCTTAGTACGAGTTTTGCATCCAATTCTGAAGATTTCATGGTAACTTGCATCGGAGCTTTGCATTCTATGTCTGAATACCTGACTGCAAATATGGCGTTGTAGATAAAGAAAATGCATTGCCGCATTGTTGACATGAAATCAGAATATTCTTGCTCTTTTTTTATGCAGCAAATGCTACTTAACATGTTAGGAAGAGTCATATACTGATTCAGATTCTTTGGGAAGGACAAGAATATGTTAAGGACAGTGAAGTTTACAGATAACTGCATGCAAAGCTGCTGGTTGTACCTTTGTTTCGTTTTGGTCGCCCTTGAATCGAATAGTTCCTCCCTTTTAACGAAATGCATTTTTAGATGCAACTCACTTAAAGTGTTAGACTATGAATATTTTTCATATCGATTTCATTTTTTATATCCTAACTATACATTTTTATACCACTTCCATTTTGTATGAATCCTTTATTTTTTGTTGTGGTTGGGCCAGTCCATTTTCAGAATCATCATGCGCGTCATGGTTATGAAATTGTTTGACTGGAAGGATAATATGATATTAAAATATAGATTTAATAAGAGGTTATCGAGTGTGAGAGGATGTATACAGACTTAACATTGTTTCTTGTTTAATGAAGTCTTGATTTGTTACTCAATGAAGTCTTGATTTGTTGTCTTTATCTTGCCATTGCAAAACAACTTGTCTTCCTACTAGGTATGCTCCAGTGAGAAGGGTCAACAAGGTTTCACTACAATTCTGTGCTTCGGAAATGATTTCAAACTTCCAATTCCCCGTAACAGTAAAGTGGGGCAACAAGGTTGACTTTATTCATGCGCTGGAAATCAAAAATATATAGAGGATGTGTGATATGGATTCAAGATGCATGTTGATTCATGAAGATTGGTAATTCCGATTATTTGTATGAGTAAGGAATTAGATGTTATCCATTTCATGTGAAATTTGAAATTTTAAACGAATTATCATATATTTAGTTACGATTTATGATGTTTGACAAAATGTGTATTACTTTAGACGTGCGTTGCACGTGCATACTTACTAGTATATATATATAGGTAAAGAAAAAAGGGATCCGCTGGAGAGAGTCCAGTCCTCGTTCGTTCCCGTCTTGTTGTTCCCCACCGATCGTCCTCCCAGAAGTGAGGCGCCGCTGGCCGCCGTCGCCGCCCTAATCCAAGATACGACCGTAAGATCACCACTGATTACTCTCTATTTGACTTTTCCCAGCCAGATCGATGATTTGCTCTCTCTATTTGCAGATCCACCCGACACGACCTAACCCTGTCTCCCGCTTCGGATCCATGGAGGAGGCGGAGAAGGAGATGTTCGACAGGAACACCAAGTCAAGGCTGGAAAGCCGTCCAGGGCCGACGGCGGAGGCGGCCGGCCTGATCACGACGACCTCATCCTCGAGATCCTCTCCCGCCTCCCGGCCAGGTCCCTCCACCGCTTCAAGTGTGTCTCTGTGTCCTGGCTACATCTGATCGCCGACCCCGCCAACCGCAAGATGCTGCCGCAGACCCTCGCCGGCTTCCTCTACACGTCCACCGACAACAGCAGACGCGGCCAGCACTTTGCCAGCCTCTCCGGCAACGGTGCAGCCCCGTTCGACCTTTCCCTCCCTTACCTTCACAATAACAAGGACGACAAGGGCATCACCCAGGTGGACGCCTGCAATGGCCTTCTTCTCTACCGTCGCCACAAGAAGAACAAGGTGACCCCTTGGAAAAAAGAGGACGATTTCGGTTTTGTGGTGTGCAATCCCGCCATAGGGAGGTGGATGGAGCTGCCCCCACAACCGCAGGCGCCACCGAGAAGATATACCTACATCACAGGCCTGGCTATTGATCCGGCAGTCTCGTCCCATTTTCACATTCTTCTTTTCGAAGAGACCTATACTGGATACTACATCACAGGAGTGAACATCTACTCATCGCGAACAGGAGCCTGGAGTCATAGGGACAGCAGTGGGATGGTTGAGAAAGTCACCCTGTTCTCTAGGAGTAAATGTGTCTTTGCTGGAGGTATGATGTACCTCATGGGCAATCTGGAGGACATCAACGGTGAGTATGTGCTGGTGGGGGTGGACATGGAGGGGAAAGTGTGGAAGACTATCTGCACTCCGTATGTTCAAAGATTTGGAACCATTGGATTGTCTCAGGGGTGCTTACACTATGCTGTAGCTTCTGTCGGTGATTACAATGCAATCCAGTTTACTGAGATAGCGCTCTGGTGCCTCAAGGATCGTGACAGTAAAGAATTAGTCCTGAAGCATACCGCCAACATCAATAAGCTTATGAGCATCACTGGAAAGATGTACGTGGTGGTTGAGATTCATCCAGATTGCGACACCATTTTCTTGGTTTCATTTCGTGGTGATACCTTGGCAGCCTACGATATGCAACATCAGAAAGTTGGCTGTATCCTTAATCTTGAGAAGAATACACGACAATTTCTACCTTATGTTCCTCTGTTCTCGGAATCATTAGCAGATGAAGATGGGCGGTAGTGTTACCTTCAAACCATGCTTGTGCTTCCTCCAAGAATTGGCTTTTCTGTTGTTTGTGTACCTCTGAATCTGCTTGAATAATGCCGCTCAATCTGCTGGTGCTTACACTCCTGCTTGGTTGATTTCCATTTCAGAGCAATGCCTGGTGAAGCACAGATTAAGCATACTGTCATTTCCAAAGAGCATTGTTACCCTTGTTCTTTTTTCTCTAGCACTGGTTGTTGTTCTGGACATGTATTAGTTCCATGTGGCTAAATTGCTAAACTATACTGTAATCGGTCTTCCTTTGCATAACAAACAGTTATTATGGTTACCCTAAATCGTGTTGCAGATTGTGAACCTGGTAGTGTAGTAAAAGGGTCAATCAGACTGGTTACTGGCGCAATGTCTAGTTTAGCTTATTCATTAAGTATTTTGGTCATACGCTACCTTTGAGCAAGTTGTTTTTGTGTATATTTTCTGTAGCTAGTGAATCCAGTAGAGCTCTGGATCTGTTAATCACAGAGAAATAGCATCGATGTCAACAAATAAAATTGGAGATGTACTCTTGTACAAATAGCAGCGTGCAGGTGAAAGAAATCATTACGCCAGAGTTTTACTGACAGTAGTAATAACAGTTTTATAGAGATGCAGCTTCAAGGACGTGCATGATGTTTGTCTGTGAACACGGCTGAATGACCACCAAAAATAAGGCCTCTTGATGTCCGCTCTGTTGATTGATTTGGCTGCGTGTTGTTACCCTGTTTGAGTCAGCTCACCAAAAGCTTTTTTCGATGCGATGATTCCTGATTCTTGAATGAGTTTGTTTTAGGACTCTGGAATGAGAATAGACAATCTGAACTGAAAACAGTAGAGATGAATCATTCAAGAATGCCATTTTCTTTCAAGAAAAGCTCTGAGCTGCTTGAGAACTAATGATGTATTTACTTTAGACCTGGCATGGACCGAGTCAGATGCATGTAACAGTTTTGAATTCCTTGAGAAATATTGCGACAGGAGAAGATTGTCTGTTCTCTGAAAAAAACATTAGGAAAAAGTGTAACATATAGTTACTTTTTTTATGACTTGGTTGACGTACCTCAAGAGATGACTTTAGGAGGAGCAAAGGGATTTGCCTGACATGGTTGAGTAGCCATAATTAAGCTGTGAGTTTTGTTATTTTACTTAAATAGTATGTCCTGCATACACTTTACTCAATATCTGTGTACCCTTACGTTCTGCTAGGGCAATTTGCTGGGTTTACATTGGGGGGTAATCTTGCTAGCTTTTCTGGAGACACTAGGATTTCAGTGGCGCCTCCGGCATTTGTCTTATATATCTATCAGCCTGTCATGTAAAATGCTGTAAATCACTCCTGTTTTGAGTTTCTGTATCGTTTTACTTCCATGTGAAGCTGCCTTCATGTCTATCGGTAGAATAATTTGGTTGAATACCATTATCAACCATTTGACCAAGGACTCGCTCTGCCTTGTCATGTTTTGATTATCTTGTGATTGGAAATGCTAGGATTGAGGCTACTTTCGGTCTGGTACGTAGCGCTTTGCTTGCTTACTTAGCCTAACTAAACCATTTGGTATTGATTGCTAAGTCAGGCTAGCTAACATTTTGCTGTGATCTCACGGCTGGGTTTAGTCAAACATGGCCTACAAGTCATAAACCAATAGAAGTGGTGAATAAGAACGTCCTCCTTTCCATTCAGCTTGGGTGACTGACAAAACAGTTGAAGCAGGCAGAGATACCCAGTATTGTACACCATAGTTATCGGATTGGTTCAGCACGAAGGCAAACAAGTCAAATACACCAGAGTTATTAACATTGACAGAGATAACCAAAGTGTTGTGGGGATCATGACGTCTGTTGTAGGTTGCTTGGAGGACATGCGGTTTCCTGAAACCGCGTCGTTAACCCAATTGAATGGGTTGGGGTTTTCAAAGGCTGAAACCTTGCTTTACGATCTTGGTTGAATCACGGCAGTTTGTGACAATTGGCCAACATCTGCAACAATCACTCTTTGTCAGGTGTATGTAACAGCTTTATACTCATAAAGAGCAGGCCATTCATTTGTCAGTCTGAGCATTTGCCATAGTAAGAAGAGGATTGAATCCCAGATACGGTGGGATGTTGTCATCCGGGATGGAGATGGACAGATTATTATGCTTGGGGCAGGGCGGCAGGAACAAGTGCATGATGCTTTTGGCGTAGAAGAAGTCAGCGCATTGGCGGCTGGCGTGTTCACGACTGCAAATCTGGCGCGATTAGAGTGGTTTTTTAGACCGATTCTCAACTTCTTGCTGATGCCCTTAATTTTTGAAAAGTGGACTCGTCTCCTTTTGCAGCTACTATTGAAGATATAAAATTTCAATTTAAAGTTTGTTTCTGTAAACAAATGGTTTCGGTGTGTCATCGTAGTGCCAATTCTGTAGCAAATGAACTAGCTAGGATTGGTAGATTATGTTTACCGAATGATAGTATGTGTAGGGATTCGATTATACCACCCCAAGTGGTTGTTTGTGCATTTTAGCGATGTGACAGGTCAGTGTTGATCTATGAAGCTATGCTTTACCCTAAAAATTGCTAAGGGTGTAGTACCAATTGTTATTTCAGCTTAAAGAGAAGGTCGCGAACTACTAGTTGGTGGGCAGGGAAGGAGGCCAGCGCATGCTAGTGGGAAGCCGCGCCGGCGCGCTGGAGAGGACGACATGACAACAACTCGACAATCAGAGGATTGGTTACTGCCGACAATGCCTTACATCATGCCCTCGAAAAGTGAAGATGAGAAATCATGCCACCACCTCTTCAGAAAATGAACTTCAGTGCCACTGCTCGTATTGATTTTAATCTAGTCCAGATAAGGTGGCCTTCAACACTGTCCGGTTGGGTGGCGCCTCTTGCCCGAAAGCTTTGAAGAGACTGGATTTTTTCGAGACAATTATTTTTTTGAGACAATAGGAAAAATGCCCGTGCGTTGCAACGGGTATAAAGTAAATCTGAGTGTTCATGTGATATTTAAAAGTTTACCTGTCACAGTGAATAATAAGATTTTCCAATTATAATAGTTGTAAGACTCGTAAGGATCCACTTTATGAAGATCTTATTGTATTCCAAAAGCTCGTAATCTTTTTCTCTACCAATATAACCTACTTCTTCAACTCCCTCTAAAAAAATTTAATTATGTGTAATAAGTTGTTGTTATTTAACAACCCCGTGTAAAAATAATTAAAATATCTAAACATTTATCGATCCGATAGATCATCGGCTACTCCTTCGATGCGAAAGTAATTGTGCATCATTCGCTTACTTGTAACAGTTTCAAATAGATCATATATTAATTCCTATATCTCGCAATCCCTATTAACATTGATTCATATTCATGCTTTCCCACTTTAAAAATATGATGGACGGAAAGTAAAGTATTTACAATGCTTGCCGTTCTTTGTTGACACGTTGCCGCTAGCAGTAGCGGCACACCCTCCACGTCAACAAGACCACTTACCTGGACATTATCGTCGGGCCTCGATGGGGATCAGGATTAGGGTACGCAGAACTGCGGGATAGATGGTACAACGGAGGGTAGTGCTCCCCCTTCCCAGCAGTCGTGCTAAGTGAAACAGGACGCGAGCAAGATGCACCGTTGTCGCACTCTCTCTATTCTTCATCCCTCCGTCTCTCCACCCTGTCTCACCCATGGCATCCAGATTTGAGGAATATCTCCATGGACAGCAAGCACCGCTAAGCTTCAAATATCTTCTCCCTTAAGAAATATTTCTTTCTAATATTTTACTCACTTTTAATTATTATACTCTCTCCACTCTAAAATAAGTGTCTTAATTTTGTATTAACTATAATACAAAGTTGTACTAAATTTATGACACTTCTTTCGAAAGAAGAGCGTACATATAATGTAACAACAAACATCATCAAGTAACAATAAACAACAGCAAGTAATAATCGTCGCTCTTCCGGAAAATAAAAAATTGTAATTGATGCTAGCGCATGCATCCAGTAGCTTCTGGCCGGTACAAGACCAATTCCATTTGTTTCGTTATTAAAGAAAAGCACCGACCGGCCAGCGCCACTCCTTCTCATCCATCTACCCATCTGCTTGCCTTATCCACATCGCCACTCCTTCTTCTCACTCAGCGCTACTCCTCCTCTTCTCCAGCCACTATCACCCAGTGTTGCTCCTCCTCTTCTACATGTGTTGTGCCGACGATGCACTCCACTCTCCTGGAGTGCGCGCGGCCGTGGTGGGTGGCCAGAGCCAGGGCATCACCCTTTATCAGTGAGGAACCCATAGGCGCCATGGAAGCTCCTCTGCCATGGGTCTGATCTGGCCGTCCTGCCCCAGTCGCCGGCCCGCTCCGGATCCGGCCAGCAGCCTCGCCTCCAATCTGATTCGGACGGCCCCGCCCACAGCCTCCGCCACCTGCGACACGCCCCCCAGAGGTCCGGCCGATCCCGCGCCGCTCATCCTTGCTTCGTCCTCTGCTCGGCACTCGCGTTTTCCGCCTCGCCCCGGCCTGCTCCAAGCCACCAACCGAAGCATGTCCACGAAGTCCAACCGGCCCTCCTCCCAGGCGCGCTCTTCGTCCGTTGCCGCGTGCTCCACCAGGCACCAGCAGCTTCGTGTTGAGCCCGTCGAACTGGCGGTGCACTCGGCGCAGCTTGGCCTGCACTCCCTGCAGGTCTAGCCACGACAGCGCCGGCACGAAGTCGCTGATGTTGAACTTCCCGGTGCCGGTGAGGAGCGACACGGTCATCTCCTTGTAGCTGCTGGACTCGTCCTTGTTCCCGACCGCAGCGCCTGGGCCGATGGCCCCCCCTCTCTTCCTCTGCTCCGAAGTTGCTAGCTCGCGAGCGCCAAGGCAACCACGACCACTCTATCTTAGGGAGATCGATGCGTTCGGCTTGTTCCACTTGGGAGTTTATCCTCCTTCACATTCCATTTCACTTTCCTTTGCTCCCTCTTCCACATTACGGAGGAAATTTCGTTCTTTTCC